AAAAAGTAATACCAAACATCTGTGCTAGATTTCCACATGATAAAATCCCCATATTACCTACAGTTCTCCCAAAGTTACAGAGAAAAAAAAAGTTTATTTAAAATTCTAGGAGAGACATGTGATAACCAATTCAAGAACTTTAAGGCAGGCATCTTGTGTTTTCTGACAGGAATGTATATTCAGTGATCTTCATGATATTCAGTTCTGAACATGAAGAATGCCATGGTATGACATTATGGCTTCCAGACAGATTTTCAACCATTTAACATACTTACAGGGAGACTACCCAGCCCAAGCATGTCCTTTTTCTTACATGTGTGTATTTTGCAAAAAGACCACTTTGTTGCAAACAGGACACATTATTTCCTTATCAAAGCAAATGCACTATCATTTTGTCTCAGAAAAGAAATAAAATCAATAAAATTCAGCTACCTTTGAAAAACATTAACAAAAACATTTGAGTGAGGTTTGTTGATTGCAGACACAGGATGCAGTCTAACTCACTGGTGGAAAACTCAGTGCAAACTAGGCAGAAGGCCTCAGAAACCATGGAAAAGAGCTCAACATTGTCTCCTCAACAGACTGCATCTCCAAAATGGAAGCACAAATATGTCCTCATGCTTTTTGCTACTCTATCAGTTTTATTTTTTGTTTCTTGCTTTGTGAAACAGCAGCGAAGGAAGCTTTTGTGGTAACTAATGCAAAGCTGGGAATCCAGCTATCTTTGTGAAAGCCTATTGCCTGTATTTTAAATTCCTTAATACATGGAAAGAAATCTAATCCTATTTTTTTGCATAGCTTATTTCCCAAAATTTTAATGAATTTTACCAACACTGACATTATTCGCTATTCCTGTAAAAAAGCAAGATTCCAACTGTAGCTAAGTATCCTCCTCCTCCTGTGTAACAAACCTGAAATTTGCCAATCCCAAAACCTTCAAACACAAAACTTGAGTAAACCTATCATCACAAGTTTGATTTGTGAAATGAAGTTTAAAGAGCAGTAGATTGCACAAAGACTGCAGAAAGGTACAGTCTTTGAGGGCCAGGTAGTTAACATGCCAATTTTAGTCCAAATCTGCCAAAAAAAATGAAAACAAGGGAAAAACTTGGGGGGGGGGGGGAGGAGGGTTGTTTTATTTTCCAGAGTTTTTCCTATGCCTCTGGTACACCTATTTGTAGGTCTCTTCCCTGTACCTTCTCTAAGAAATGTAACCTAAGGCCTGGAGAAATTTCAGATCTTTGAAGGCAGCTATATTATAAAATCTGCTAGAGCTATTGACAGGAAAAAAAGAACATATACCAGAAGAACATATACCTTACTAATCAATCCCTAGTATGATCAGTGCTCAGGAAGGTGCAGATCAAGGACACAGAATTGACAGCCATTGGAGACATGAGTTTGTAGAAGAGGGTGCCCTTAATTACCAATGTTTCATGACCAGTTGCCTCAGTTTCTCTCACAGCATGCTAATTCAATTATCTGGTTTGGTCAAATTTCCTCCTATTAGTGATTATTAATAACAAAATCCATTTCTTCTACTTCTCATCCATTAGCTTTCTGTCCACCATGTTGAGAGATCTAAAAGACTGTGAATGAACAAAGCAGAAGACAGATTCCAGCTTTGGTACTATTTTCAAGAACTAAGACATGAACAGCATAAGGAGAATGATATGGTTGCGTCAGGGGAAAACATGTTCAAAAGCCCAACAAAACACACAGAAGTCTTGTCCTTTCTCCAACTAGGATTTAAAATGTAACAGGATGGCACACAATTAGATTTCAAGAACTAAAAAACTTCAGATTGAAAGTATTTCAAAGCTAAATACCAAAAGAATGGCTTATGAGAAGTCAATCTATATATGCTTCTTAATATAGTGTTGAGACTGTAGAAAATCAGTTGTCTTCAGTTATTTTTTCCACATTCAACCTCATTTCCAGCTTTTTTTCATAGATAGTACTCATTCAGCTAGAGACCATAGCACAATCAATCATTGCAAGGGTAAACCAACACACTAGAAAACTCTGTTCATTGAATAATTTAATTTGCTGCTACAGAGACGTTTATCTTCCTTGTTTCAAGTGCAGTGTCAGAAAGTCAAATAGCAAAACTAATTAAAAAAACAGAAACAAGTGTTCAAGACTGCAAACAGTACATTACACATGACAATATACTAGTTTCTCAGAAATATACTCAACAGATGAGCTCTATACTCCAACCTGTAAAAATATAGAAAGCAGAGTATTTCAGATAAAGTTCTAAAATTACAAATATTTTGTTAAATCTATAGGACAATAAACACAATTTGAGTGAATACTAATTCAAAAATTGAATTAATTTTAAATGTATCCAAGTTCCAGTTTACTTTTAAAGCATTCGGGGCGGGGGGAGGGGATAATCAGGAACTCTGCACAGTCGTTTACAGAGTTAGGATAAAAACTTACAAACACTAGTTAAAAAAAATAAAATAAAACTAGTCCATTGAGGAGACTACTGCAGAAGATTCAACACAGTAATTCCTGTTTATCATGTTGCAAAACTGTATTGTGCAGAATGAATACTACATGCAGTGACAGTAACTCAAGCGAGCACTGCAGAATAACAAGGACTTACCAAGCTACTCATGAAGATCAAAAGTTGATTTTTGGACTTCTAACAAATAAACAAAACTATACAGAATATCTGATAATTCCTCAAAGCATGCAGACAACTTCCCATAACAAGACAGCAGAAGACAAAATTTGAATATCAGATCATTTTCCAAGAGCCCACTTGAACAATCAGACCCAGATTCCTGGAAAAACAAGCAGGTATCTGCTAAACATTAAGTTTTTAAGGCGTTCATACACCCTACACAAAATACTTCCAAGCTCCCTACAACAAACTTCAAATCTGCAGAAAAAATTTTAAAAATCATTTTAAAAAAAAAAAGCGCATAAATATTATGTGCAATAGGAAGAGAGCTGGAGAGATGAAGACTTCACCCAAAGACCTGAATTCTTACAATATCAAGGAAATTGTCATTCAAATCTCCAAATCACTAGATATAGTTCCTTCCAATCTGACATGGACAGATTTTAAAACTCTGACCAGTTACCAAGGCAGACCAGCACATCACAAGCAGAAGCTCCAGGAAGCCCCATTCTATACCTGCTGTAGTCTAGGGGAAAGACAACCTTTATATCCTTACATAAATTGAAGGAGAACATTTTTTTCCTGGCCCCCGAGGGTAACCCAGGGGGAATTCTGAAACATAAAACTAATTCAGTATAAACATAGGAGAAACATGTACAGTCTACAAGTAGCAATAAGATCTACTTTCAGCATTCCTTGGACTAATCAATAAATTGGGTGCCCAAGGATTTTATTTGGAAGCTTACACTTTATCTACTTTTCCTACTTATTTCTATTTCTCCAACTACACTCAACTACTGTGCTAATTAGAATCCTTGGTAAAATTTCTACAGTAAATTTTTTCATGTCCAATACATACCCAAATTAGGATTCAAAACTTAAGTGATACTTGTGCAACAGGTGAAATACAAATAACCACACAACAAAACAAATAATAAATAAGAAAATCATCCATACTGGAAACAGACTGTATGTACTACTCTGAAAATAGCAGATCTCAAGCCAGAAACCTCTCTGCTATGTTATAGAACTCCTCCCACAATCCCCTTCATCACAAATTCAGTATCTTTTCAGCATCCAGTGACTTTCAGACTTCATTAACAGGTGGCATCACTTTCTGAAATTGTGCCTATGAAAAGATTCAGGATCCACACTTTCAAAAGAAAACGTTACTGAAATACATCTTGTGCATCATTTCCAGTTTCCAAGCCTCAGATAGGCCCGAGATAGCACAGTTCTCTACGTATATTCTACGTTAGAGAAGAAAAAAAGAAAGGGGGGGGGAGGGCGGGTAGGGGTCAGCAGTAGGAAAACTGAAGTTGCCATAAGCTAAATATAAAAGAATTTGTCCATAGCAAGGTATTTTGACAACATCCTGTGGATGTAAATAGCAGTCCTAATCTCTAGCATTCATGTGTTTAGTGATACACAGGAGAAAAATAGTTCTCTATGCTCTTGTACTTATTTCATTCACGCTTTAATCCGTTAGGCAAATTGATGGTTTTACTAGACTGGAAGTTAAATCATTCTACTCTGCTTCCAAGCTTCTAAGGAAACAGGCATGTTGGTCCTGGTTCCCCTTACTCTGAGTAGCTTGTACTCCGCCTTCCTGCTGTTTTCTCTCTTCTTAGCTGGAAGTAACAGGGTCCTTCTGAGTACGACTCACACTGTCTTGGTTGCCTGAGACTAGTCACACGATAATGCTGAAGGGCTGCTGGGATGTAGAGGGGCAGATGGGCTTTACACCAGGTCAGATTTTCTTTCAATTATACTAATGCAATCATCCCAAATCCAGTCCCTAAAATGCATTCACAAGTGACTTGGGCAGCTTGTGCAGGTGGGCTTGGGACCAAATTAGGGATCTCTCAAAAGTACAGAGCAGCCATCACCCCAGTGGTTTAATGTAGCAACATTATGTGGTATATTTACTGAAAAAGTTGGGGTACCACACATGAAAATACATTAGAAATGCACACAGGCAGAAACCTTTTTCTATTGAAAGCAAAACATTTTAACACACATTTCAAACACAAGGGGTATAAAATAAAACACAAAAGTAGCATGCACTCATGACTAGTTTATAGCAGCAGCAGGTGTTACTTCCCTCTTCAGAACACAGAAACCAAGCAAAGCAACAATGTCAGAGACAATAAGCCCCAAATACAATTACTTTTCTTCCATAATTTCTTATACTTGCTCTCAAATGTCATATAGCACTACTGTGTATTTCTTACTGATGTAAAAGAAACGTATGTTAACTTTTTTTATGAAAAAATGAGAGCAGAAAAATAAAACTTAGATACTGTTTCCAAAACTGCAAGTATTTGACAGTATATTTTAAACAAATAAATAAGTCTTTCATTACCTCTCTAAGATGCATGTTTTCCTTCTCCTTCTGATCTAAAATCACTTCTAAATGATTAACCTGAGATTCAGCCTCTGCCATCCTTCGAGTTCTCTCGTTGTCATCTTCCATTCCTTTAGATGGCAAACCTTTACTTTGCAACATTTCCAGAAGCTTTTTTATTGACTCATCTCTGGCGTTTAGTGTTTGCTTTTGTGTTTCAATCCTAAGCTCCATTTCTTCTAGCGTTTTTCTCAACAGGAATAGCTCTTTAGCTTGTCTATCATGTTCTGCTTGAAGTCTTCGAAAATTCTCCTCTGTGAGCTCAATGGTAAAATGCTCAGCCCCTCGGTTTCCACTTTCTTGCTGGAGAAGATGGTTAAGGTCTCTCTGGGTTCTAAGTTCATCCTGAAGTGCCTGGATTGTCAGCTGCAGATGCTGCAATAAATAAAAGAAAGAAAAAGAAAAAAAAAAATCCATTTAGGATCCGAATGTAGGATTAGTCTTTGATTAAACTTCTGTTGTATGCCGTTACAAAAATTCATTAGAATCTATGATGAAAGTAGATCAAATGACCTTATAAAATAGCAAATGCATGTGACAATATTTGTAATGATATCTTTCAAGTGCTTCTAGAAAAAAAAAGACAACAAACACGCAGACACAATAGGGTTAGCTACAAATAAAAAAAAATAGCAAAGAGACAAACCAACAAACCCAAACACTAGGCAGTGACACAACTATCAGTACACTTGGTATGTACCTCTAAAGCTGAAAGACTCAGTATTCCATGTTTTCTAAATTACTTCATAGACTAAAGGTAATTCTGCCCTTCATGGTGCTCAACAGTACTGTTGTTCATAAAGTCAATCAAAGCATTCACTATAATTGAAAGGGGCTTTGGGGAGGGGCTGAGTTGGGGCTGGTTGGTTTTGGTTTTTCCTTTTGGCAACTAAAGCTATGAACATGTTTAGTAAACAGGATTACTGTATCTCTAACAAGCAAACAAAAAACCACAATAAGCAATACTGAATTTTGACTAACTTGAATAAATTGACTGCAAGTAGCGGACAAACCTTTGTTCTCCTGGCATCCAAAAACTGAACAGCATGGTAAATGAAAAAATGAAGCAAAATCAACATAAACAAAGGTCAGATGCAAGCAAAGGAGATTCAACAGAAAGAACTGAATTCAACAAAAAGTACCTTCAACAGAAAAAAATAATTTTATTAAGTTATACAGAAAGGCACCAACAACGTCACACTACTCAAATATGTACACCTAAATTGCAGACAAACTTTAATCAATAGATGTGGCAAAGAAAAACATACTAGAAATAATCAATCCCACAGTGAACAAATTCCTACTTTAGCTTACTGCTCTTTTACACTTTAAGGCTTTTCAAAACACAGTAACTTGTCCTAAAATATTTGTACTACGTCTGAGTACAGGGGTGGGTTCCGTTCAAGAAGTAAATCTTGCAATCCTTACTCAGCACAAATCAAAATCAAGAAGGATTTTGCCCAGGTTAAGGTTGGAACCTGGATAATTATCTCAAATTACTATGGTTCATGATGTTCACTTCAGATTATATTTTATCTGATGATTTATTTTTCTTATTATTTTTTCTCCTCTATTTTCTGCCTACACAGCATACTGAATGTATAGAAATAGAAATTCCTGAATAGGCACACTGTCTGTACCAGAAGATATTTAATTGCAGGAATCAAGGGACTTAAATGCATGGCACCAGACTTCTTTGCGTTAATGGATATTCTGCAACTCCATGTTCTAAAAACAGAAGAAACCCCAAACAAACAATGAAACATCATTTCATTTGATAATACATTCATGTTTAGCACAATTACATCTAAAGCTGCCAGTTTTTAACAATAATTTAAAATAAATAAAAATTGTAAAACTTGAAGAAAAGAGCCTTTTGAAATCACCTATTTATCAGTTATTTCAAGTGGAAAGAAGTATTGCCAGTAGTAGAATTCTGTACAGACACACTGAATCTATTCGATCATTAAATAGCACTGTTTTAATAAACGTCCAGTTCTTAATTCTCGTAATATTTGCATCTTACTCTGCACACACTCAGTTAAATGTATGCAAATGTAGGCAACTCATTTACAGCCCTGCTTTTATTTAATATTCATTATCTTTCATTAATCTGAAAATCTGTTTATTATTTATATAAACTTGAAAGCACCCAATAAACTTAAAACTCCTCTAGATATAGCAATTTTCCCACTTTAAATCTACTAATATACTGTGTGTTTATGATCCCAAGACTGACAATTTTAGCACAGAAATTGAGTGCATAAATCCAAATCAAATTTTGAAATAGTACAGAAATTATATTCAATGATCCTCATGACTAAGAGAATTAACAAAGACATGGCAAAGCAATGACAAGTAAGGACAGATGCTGCAAAGTAAACCAAATCAAAAACATTTCTTTTTAAATGCTTTTTCACTGTGTTAAGTCATAGGGACATTATTTTTGTAGATTGCCTTAACCAGCTAATACAGCAGTTTTGCAATGACTCCAAACAAAATGACATCTTACATTAGAGAATACAGACTTACTGTAGTCCCTAATCCTTTGTGCCTTGGTAACATTGAAACTTGGAGAAGAATAAATGCTTGAGATTACCAAATTAAAAATAATTCAGTTTTTAGTAACGAGACTGCAAGTATCTTTTATAAAAGATAACAGTATTTTTCTTCAATAATATTAGAGCAGAAATATGGATGAAATCCTGGTTTAAATGTACTAAAAAGAAAAGGAAAAATAAACCTAAAAAACACCTTCTTCCACTACATTCTTTAGTATATAACTACTGAGAGGGAAATCACAAGGGACCACGTAAAAGTAACATTTAACTCCTCTTAAAAAGTTCCCAGAAAGAACAGATTGTAGTATGTCCACTCTCATCTTTGAGAACATTTTAGTTTAGTGGATAATGTTGCAAACTACTTTAAAATTACACTCAATAATTTGTTTCAGTAGCACGACTGGTAAGGGGTTTGGTTTGGGTTTTTTGTGTTTTTTTTTTTTTAAGGTATTTAAGAACTCATGATAAAAGTTTCTATCTTGAAGCTCAAGTAAGATTTTTTTGTGTTCAATTTTTGTTGTTACTGGGGCAGGAGGGGGGAAGGACAGAGCTTAAATCCTAGCTTCTGACAGAAAGCAATTATGCATGAGACATCTTCCATTTACAAAAATACATTTTTGTTCAAAGGCTTCAAAGAAAACCATGAGTGTGTTGCAAATGTGACAAAACTTTAAAATGCCGCAATCAAATAAAAATTATATAACATCTTTCATTCGGTCTTATAGTTGAAGAACAGCTTCATTTTTTCCCAACTTTAAACTTGGAATCATAACCGACCTATCTGATGTATCTTGTTTTTCCTGTTATGGAATGAAGCCTTAGAGCTTATTGAAAATTTTCAGATGAGTAATTATGGGAAAACAGATTTATATCCATTTAAACTACTCCTAAGTTTGCATCACGCTTGGCAAACAGTGCCTCTCAAAAGCTCAAAAGAATTCAATAAATATTTGAAAGTGTTTTTTCCCAAAGCCAAGTGGTCTCTGTACAGCAAACGCCTATATGTCTAAAGACTTCAGCTTTAGGGAAACTAATTTCTAAAATATTTTAAATGTTGTAAGACAAAAATAAAAGCAAATTTAACATACACATTGCAAATATACAACCCTTGTGAATGCAAGCTGTAAAAGTCAAAACTGTTGGTTCAGCACACAAATAATTAGAAATCAGAACTCAAACAATTCTTGTTTAAGAATAACTAGAGAATTTCCTTTTCTGTCCCACAGCAACCTACATACACGGTTCTTAGGTACTACCCATGTTTGCCTATAAGCACAACAGTAGTTGTGGCTGCTTCTCAGAAATTATGTTAAAACTAACAGCTTCAAGTGGCAGACTACTGTTACTCTGACATAAGAGAATCCGTTTTTGTACACCTTCAAGACTTGGAACTCTCTTTGAACATGATGAACAGATTTAGACTTGTGCTGGCACAATTTTTGTATCTGCAGCTAGCTAAGAGAAGAATAGAACAAATGTTGTGAGGGAGGGAAGAAATTATATAATTAAATGCGGTGGGGGAGTAATGTAGGAGTGCTGTGAATATCTGTCACACTGCTGTCATTAAATAGACATAGAACTTTATAGGATTTTAAAAACACATCCAAGATCTACCACATTTTTCATTTCTATTAAAAACAGACCACTTGACCAGAAAGTTTTCCATGCCAAATTCCTAGTAATAAATAAATAGTTGTCTTGGAACTTTTTCATTCCTTCTCTGTAGCCTAACTCCAAGAGGCAATCCATGGAACTGCACAGAAGGTTCCATTAATCTTCTCTGAATTAAGCATAGTGCCGGTTTTCAAAATTTGTCCCCATAAACTGAAATAAAACTATGAAAGGAAGATACATTAATGGTCCTTCCTGGATTCCAATTCCCATACAAGAATGTTCCTCTGTCTGTGCCAAGTGGCTATTACCAAAGGAATGGCCTGCAGAATACTGTCCTGCCACAGTATACCTTGGGCCAGAGCACATAAGCACTTTCAGAGCATCCCAAAGCCTTAGATACATGGACAGTGGAGGAAAAGGAAATCACAAGGAGACTCCCCAATCTGAAATTGTTACTCCACCTACAGAAGTACATAGCTTCTTATAATCGCACCATCACCCTGGCACCAAAAGCAAAGATCATATTGAAGAATCCAGTCTGCTGTCAAGTAAAAAATTATCTGCTACTAACATGGAAGGAAGTGACAAACCTTGTTTAAGGTCAAGGAAGAAAAAGTCTATAGCTTGGGCTGTCTTGATTGGGAAAGCCAACCTGAAGGATGTGGTGGCAAAAATGGTCTTATACTATCACTCAGTGACAGATTTTGAAATACGCAACCATCCGTATACAATTTGCTAGTAGTTTTCTGTAATGCAGTGATAATGTAACAGCTAATTACTCAGACAGGAATCACTCCAATCCGAGGACCAGAACTGCTGAAGGTTTCCGAGTATGTTCTTTGATAGTTCCTGCTCTAAATAATTCAGCACAACCATATGACTAAAGGGGTGATGGCAAGATCATCCAGTATATCTGAAACAACTATTTCTGAAGCCATCCAAGATGATTTTCTATTTTGAGGCTCTGTGCAAAAAGAGCTCTAAGCTACCTCCATAGAATGGTTAGGGTTGGAAGGGACCTTAAAGATCATCTAGTTCCAACCCCCCTGCCATGGACTTTATTGGACTTGAGTGGGTTTTTCCCCACCTAATGCCTCAATCCTCCCTCTCACCCTCCACTGTCTTTTTATTGACTTCTAGCTCTTATCTCTCAACAGCTCCATTTTTAGCTCCTGATTCTCCTGTTTCTTTCACACTGCA